TTTCTATTATACGCATGCGCATAAGGTACAAAATGCGCATCGGCGCCGCGCGCGCGCAGCAGCAGCGCATAAATGTGGCGACGGCTCAATTCTCAGCTATATTTTTGCAGTGCAGTGTGCCACCTTGCAAAGGCTCCTTATTGCCGTGTGATTATTACAATTGCAGCAGAACAATGGCAGGTAAGTACTTCATTTACTTTACTTGCGACTTCTTGCGGACTTTTATAGCTAGCTACATACCTTGATTCTCCGACCTTTGTAGGACGGGCGCCCAGCTCGAAGGCACGGGAAAGTTTTTCAAGTGCGTTGAAAAATCGCCTGAAAGGACTCATTTTTGGATACTCTTCCATAGAGTGTGCAGTTCATGTCTGCTACTGTGCCGATAGTTCGGCCGATTTCATCGTGACAAAAAACCTTCCGCCACATGTTGATGCCGTGGAAACGAAATACAAGGATGCAAGACTTGTTCGGTATGTCGCAACGTGTTCCTCTTCTTCTGCCGGAATAGCTCTTACAGTTCCTGAAACGCCAATAAATGGGTGGATTGTGGAGCCGGAATTAGAGCCAGCCAAAATCGACATGAGTAAAATTGTAAACTACGAACCGGGAGGAGTTATTCCGCACATTAAACTGAACATCATATGGACTGGAGAGGGGCGGCCGCGGAAAGAGAAAATAAACATCAGTGTAGACGGGGCTGAAGATTTAGAGTCGTTCGAATTGACATGTGAACCACTTTTTCCATGTTCACCACAGCAGTTTGGAAGTTTCACCGCACAACAGCAAAATAGAACATTGGAAACACAATTAGCAGATACACTTTTTCCGTCGAAAATAGAGCCCAGCCCATCCGCGTTTGAAAGGCCCACCCTACGACTTCTTCAAAGGTTCCCAACTCGATCGGGACGTTGCATAAACATTATTGAGAGGATTGGCGACAAGGGTCACTACCTCTCCATTCATCTTCTCAATGACAAGTGCGGAACGGTTGTCAATACCCTCGAATTGAAGCACAGATCCGATCCGAATCGAGTCGCAGAAGCAGTTCTCGTGCGGTGGCTGGAGAAGGAGCCGCGTACCTGGGCTGATCTGGTCACAGCACTGAGGGAGATAGAGCTGGGCGCTCTGGCAAAAGAGATTCAAGATAACCTGTGTACAAGTCGTTGTTCTAGAGGAAATCAGGTACATACATACATTTTGTAGCATCATACTTGGGAAGATATGCACTGTTTGTACTGTGTTATCTGTGTGATTAATTATCCCTCATTTAATTATATCACTTCCTCCTTTGAAGGAATGTCCTATTGCATAACTCATATCAGCTAGAGAAGTACAGCGTCTGCTACCAGTCACAAATATGTGTACTTTACTCAATAGTGTAATTTGTGTGTGTGCTGCATACAAACCCCCCACTCTCTATTATACTACAGCAGGTGACAACATCAACTGAATTACCACAACCACAACCAATATTCGCTGAGGACGCTGCCTCTGTATCTGATAGACCCACACTACCACTTCTTAAAAGATTCCCAACTCAATCCGGACATACTACCAACATCGTTGAGGGGATCGGGTCAAAATGTCAGGACCTTTGCACCTGTCTACTAAGAGACAATTGGGGTGCGGTTATCAGGAGCATGGAGCTAGAGCATCGAAATGATCACTATCGAATTGCAGAGACTGTTTTTCAAAGATGGCTTGTTGAGGACCCGAATGCGTCGTGGGCAAAGCTTGTTCGCACACTGAGGAGCGTCGGACTTGGAAAATTGCCACGAGAGATTGAAAAAAATTTATTACCCCCATCTGTGGAACACTGATTGATTTATGTTTGCGACATAGTACTTTAATGACAGAAAGTCCACATTATTTTTTTGTACACGTGTATATACAATTTCAAAGATGTAATCTAATCTAGCACTTGTAAACAACGAAGGTATAAAAATTGTGCCTTAATCAACAGCATAGCAATGTTGAATCTGAAAGAAGCTATGTACATAACGAGTTTTAATGTGAGATGTGTCTGTGTCATGTTCAGATTTTTTAAAAAACGGGTCATCACGTTACAATCACTGCAGCTTTTATCCAGCTGCTATATACCAGTCACACAAATAATAAATGTGTACTTTACTCAATAGTCAATTTGTGTTTGTGTTTCAATCAAACCTCCCACTCTACTTCCACCCTCCACTCCCCCAACCCTTTGCAACATTTCGCACGTCGTTTTAAACTAGGCTTTGAACCCTCC